ATTTGGAAAGCTGGGGGGAGAGTATGGCAATCAGTTGTAACACACTTGACTTTTCCATGTCCTCCTCATCCCACCCTCAGACTGCTTCCCTGCCAGCAGGTCGTATCTGTGCCTTCCCTAACAATAGGGGAGTAAATGGGCTTTTTTGGGGGATTTTCAGTAGCTAGCTGCTCTGAACCATACTTAATGCCTGCTCCAGTTCTTTCTTTTCTCACAGCTTCGCAGCGATTGTCTCCTCTATTGATTAAATACTTTCTCCCCTTTGTTTTCAGTTGGAAGGGATACGAGCTGCCACTGCTCAGAGGCTTCTCCGGATGCTACAGGTCTGTGCTGGTCACATCCCAGGAGTTTCTGCCTTGTCTTTTAGCTCGCTGCTTAAGAATGATGATGATGATGATGATGACTAGCTTCTCATTGTGAGAATTCAGCCACATTCATCAGGTTTTTCACTTTGGGCATTCAAGCTGCTGCAGTTGGAATCACATGGTGAAGATTTTTTTGCCCTGCTTGTCATGACTGCTCATCCAGAGCTGTTCCTCATTGCTAATCTCTCCAGAAAAGCTTGATCCCTGTTCAGTGGGTAACATACAGGTGCTGGGGAGAGGGCAGTTTGAACTGAGGATTCCTATCCATGAGTACATCTGAACCCCATTTTATGCTCAGGTTTGAGTTTCACCCACTTTGCAAGCAGCCAGAAACTACTTATTTTTTTAAGAGAGTATTGGAAGAACATGCCACTATCCAAAATGCTGCATGTCACAGTTAAGTATCTTAAAGTGTCCTCAAAGTGCTGGAGAAGAGGCAGCAGGCTCCTGCATCCTTTCAGGTGAAGCAGAGCACCTTGGAGTGATGTGAAACCTCCTTGCCAGGTTTTGTCTCCCCCACCAAGGGATTAATGAGTGGAGGAAGGCTCTGTCCTGCAGAGTGGATTATGCTTGGCAGGGACTGAACCAGCTGTGTGAGCATCTGCCCAGTGGAGGGCTCAGACACCTAACTGGGGAGGACAGGACTAAAGAAGGTAACCCATCACTTCAGCTTTCTTTTAGATCTTTAAAGAAAAAGGCTCCATCTCTCAAGCCCAGGATAACAAGCACACCTAGACTATCAAGCCCAGGATAACCTTACCAGCCCAGCCTCTCCAGGGCTGCCCAGAGATGGGACACAGCAGCCTGGGCTGCATCAACATACCGGAAAGAGTTGTCCCTTCCAAGCTGGGCATTTGTGGTGTATAATCCCTTAACTCCCAGGTTCCTGTCAGTAGCAGTTTGTGCCTTGTTCTTCCTGCAAGCCAGGAGTGTGTTTTACATTTCTAAATTAATAAAACAAATCTAATAAGTCATTTTGTGCTCTTTGAGTATGTTGCAGAGGCTCCAAAAGCCACAAACGCTGCCCCAGTTTGCGCTGGCGGCTGGTCCCAGTTTGCCCCAGTTTGCTGCTGGTCCTTGCTGGCAGTTTGAACTCGGTTAGTGAGCTGCAGTCACGGCTTCAGCCACGGGGAGGTGGCAGAAGCTTTCCAAATAATATCCTCCCAGCAGACCGAGTTGAGCCACCTTCCAGAACGGAGTGTTGACTGAAATTCTGGGTTGTTCCTTACCCAGCATTGCACGCCAGGTAGAAATGAAGCTTAGAGAAAATGTGTTAAGCTCCCCTCTGGTTTAATTTATTTAATTCCTGGTGGTGTGCTTTCCTGTTCCTAGGTGCAGAGCTCTGGCTGTGTGTGCTGCTTGGCTTAGCTTGTTCCTGACATCTGGGAGAGCAGGAAAAAGCAGAAAGCAGCACTGCAGGCTCCATCAGCTGCGAGCGTTGGCAGCCCTTGCAAAGACAGCTCAGCAAGGCACAAAGCCTCTATCCTTGCTCAGAGGACACCCAAATCCCAGCTCCAGTTGGATTGTTGCTGGTGGGGGAGGGTGAGGTTGTTTGTCAGCTGGAACAAAAGGAGCTAAACTATTCAGCTGTGTTACGGTGCCCAAGAGGGCTGGACTCTGGCTGAAACCCAAAGGAGAACATCGTGCAAACTTGTGGCTGTGTAAGAAGGATTGGAAGCTTCATGGGCATGCCCTACTTTCCACCAGCTTTGTGCTGGTGCAGGCACTGGCTCAGGACTTTAATCATAGAATCATAGAATCCTTTAGGTTGGAAGGGACCTCCAAGATCATCAAGTCCAACCATTGAGCCATTAGGGCTCAAAAGTCATCTGCTAAAACAGATCAGAATCTGTCAGGGCTGGAAGGGACCACAAGGATTCCCCCAGTTCCAGACTTTGCCACCAGAGAGGGGCAATCATGCTGAGAAACAAGTTGCCCTGTTGGTTGTGCTGTCTCAGCCTCACCTCTTGCTTTGGGTCCCTCAAAACAAAGGAGACCAGGGTTCAGAAGAGGCTGGTTTCGATTTGCTCTGGGTGTGCAGGTGCAGGCTGGGGGAGGGAAGGAAGGGCTGTGGTGTGACACGAGCCAGTCTTTCGTGTCCCCCACAACTGCTGTGAGGCCAGGAGACTCTTCTGTCTCCTAGGTTGCCCTCCTGCTGCCTCTAATAACTCATTTCCCTTGGACCTCAAGAGTAATTTCGCTGTGCTGTCTTAGCTGGTGAAAACAAAACTCCCTTTGGCTCACCCATAAGGCTTTGTAGCAACCCACACGTGCTCCACTCCTGCCCCTTCAAACTCTGGGTTTTCTTTTTTCCACTGCTCTGTTTCAGATGTGGTGTTTCTTTCTTTCCACTGCTTTCAAAGAAGAAAGATGCTGTTTGTGCTTCCTACAGGTGGCCGGATCCCAGCTGGTAGAAAATAAAAATCTAGTTCCTTAAGAGCAACATCTCACTTCACCTCAGGGCAAATATTTTTCTTGCTCTTAAGCGAAAAGCCTTTACTAGAGCTGGCAGGGCAAGTGGAGCATGCCTAAGAATATGACACTGTGTCTCAGGTCCATCATGTTTTACAACTGAAAGTAGTTGGGACACATCTAAAGCTACAGCTTCAGCTCTGTAAATACCTCTAGGAACTGCCAGCTATGAGTTTAGACAGGCCATAACACTGCTTCTACCAAAGGAGATGAATCAGCTGAGGGTATCTTTTATCTGGATGGAGTAGCCAGGGCTGATAAAGGTCTTGTGAAAGTGGTACTTGGACTGGGACCAGAGGCATGGAAGGTCTGAAGCTGAATTAGGGCTCGTGACTGGTTGGTTGTGTTTGAGCATTGCAAAAGTGGTTGCCAAGCTGGCTGAAATCTAAACTCACCAATATTTTGGAGTTAATTGCTTTCTCTTTCTTTCTCTCTCTTTTTCCCCAGTTCCCTATCCCTGTGGAGATTTACAAAGAGAAATTCCCCTCTCTGTGGCAAAAGTACTTGTGAGTGTTGGTTTAACTGTTTGCAGATGTGTGTTTAACCATGTCAGTAAAAGTGGTTTAATTGGTGTAGAAGACATTGCACCAGTTGCACTGGTGTGGGCTTTGGCCATGCAGTGCATTTTTGGGGTGGGCTGTAATAATCTCTTCTGCTGCAGCAGGTTGACCCACAGGATTTTGTCTTCAGTCCAGTCACTGGAAGAAGATTTTGTATCCTCAGCCTGCTAGCCGAGGTGCTCTGTGAGAGATTTCAAGAGAAATCAGCTTGCTTGGCATGAGCTGTTGGGATTATAGCTCTGCTAGCCAGGGTTTTCCAAGGGAAAGGTAGTTTTTTGTTGGCTTTGCCACACCAGCAGTTAAATCAGACTGACTTTTAAGTGTGATAAGATGTGATATGCTCAGTCTATACCAACAGGAGAGAAAGTCTGCGTACTGATATGTGCCTTTACTAAAAGATCTCTCTGTCACGGAGCAGAGATAAGAGAGAAATCCAGCCTTGGGGATTTTTCTGTCCCTCCAAACCTTGAAACTGGTGGCAGAGATTTAGATTCAAGGCCAGGTCTAATATTTGCTTTGGGAACTCGTTAAAAACTGAGTGTCTGTGCCTGCCAAGACCTGGAGTTCAGAGGGGCTGGCTCAGCAGCTGTGATCACACTACAGGAGCTGCTTGGTGGCTCTCCTCATGACCACTGCCCACCACAGCAGTGGACAAGAAGGGACTCCTGCTCTGCTGCCTGGAGCTGCTGTGCAGAGCTGTGGCAGAGGTACCTGCTCTGCTGCTAAAATGCTTTCTGCTGTGGACTTTTTAACTCGTCTTCATTTTGCAGGAGCACAGGGCTTTGCTCTGGACAGATTCCATCTGCTCTGTCTGCGTTCAGCTGGCCCAGATCCCCTGGCAGTCCCCTCTGCAGGCTGAGTGTTCTGCACTTCCCACCCTAACCTGGGGAGCAGCTTTGCTGCGGGCTGCTCAGCAACTGCCACTTTCCATTGGGTGACCAGCTGGCCCTCCCTGCTGGGGAAAAGTGATTGCTGTGTGAAAGCAATAGCAGGCACAGCCCACAGCCTGGTGCCAGAAACGTGGGGCTCCTTTTTCACCTCTGTGGCTGATTTCTTGCATGCCCCTGGCCATGTGTGTTAAAATTCACTGTGCCTCACCTGCCCTGCACCGACAGCAGGAGCTGCCACTGCTGGAGGGGCATGAGGAGGGTGAGCTGATGATGCTTCAGGGTCACAAACCTGGGAATTTGTGGAAGCATTTTGAAAAAAAAAAAATCATTTTTTTTCCTAATTAACAGAGTTTGATTTATAGTTTTCAGGAGGGTTTGGTGGGACCTAGCACCAAAGACTTGGCTGTGTTTTGTGCTGCTTACCTGCCTGACCCTGCCCTGAAACCACCACGCTCCTTCTCACTGCAGCAGGGCTGGTTTTGTTGGGAACTGGAACGAAACCACCCTCTGAAGTGCTGAAATTCCCCGTGCAGTTTAATTATCCTTGAATTGGCCGGTGGGAGGAATCAGATTCTCTGGATCTGTTCCTCCCTGTTACATATTCATGTGGCACGGTGATGCCAGGGGGGTGGCAGCCCCTCGGCTCAGCTCTCAGGGGGCTCTCTTGGCTCTGGAGGGCTGGTTGTGAGAAGAGGCTGAGCACAGGGGACTCTGTGGGCACCTGCCCTGGCACCTCCTTTGCCAAGGGGAGTCAGCAGGGTGTGACAGCCTGTGCTTTACACAGGGGCTCATCGCCTGCCTGGCTGCGGGCTGGGGCACCAGCCTGGGCACCCCACGGGAAGGAGCACCCACGTGGGGTGAGGACAACAGCAAAGAGAGAGGTCACCTCCCCTTGGGAAGCCTGGCCCTGGCACGGGGCTGGTCCATCCTCTGAACCCTGGCACCCTCCCCACATGACGAGCTGTGCCAGGGCCCACGGGAGCAGCCGAGCTCTGGAGCCGTGCGGGCACGGGCAGAGGGCACAGGCACCCCTGGTGAGCCCTCGGAAGGACCTGAGCAGCCCAGCCAGAGCTGAACATGCTCAGGAGGCTTCCCTCATTTCCTAGGACCAGGGAGTGGG